AACTGCAAATTGAAATTAAATATTTTTATTGTCGTTATAAGACTTTAACAGCAGTAGGTCAATTTGTAATAAATAATTGTGATATTTGCATACTTGCACAAGTGCAAAATAATACCAACAGACACAATAAAAACAGATTTTAAAGATAACATTGAAGACTTTGGCCATAAACGGTCATCTGCGCTGTTTTACTTCAATGTCTATTGAATTTTTATCCTATTTATAATCATGAAATTCTAAGTATTTTGTTTTAAATGTGTGTGTKTGCACTTTGTTGGAACAATTATGTATTTTATGTAAGGCTTGATTTTTTTTTTTTAAATTACTTTTTATCTAAACATTCCCTCATTTTTTGGATGCTGCATAAAGTTTTATTGTCTTAACGATCTAAACGAGAAGTTTGCCTTCATATTTATACTTCAAATAGTGAAGCCTTACTTTTTTTTCGTGAAATTCGCTTTTCCCAGAATTAAGATCTTCCATTTTTAGTAGTCTGAAAGTCGCATTAACAACGAAAGTAATTTCAACTGTGAAATCCAACACATGAGACCCAGCATTCATTATTGGATAATGTTTGACTGAATAGATCGCGTCCAGCGCGCAGTGAAGAAAATATATGAGCTCTTGGAAAGTTCCAAGAAGATTCGATGTTCTCGAGCCAAATTTTGTTCAGCAATGAGGCCCATTTATGGCGCAATGGGAACATAAACACGAAAAATTAGCGCATTTGGGATGAAAGGTAACCTGAAGAGATTCAAGAGCTGCCACTCCTTCCAGAAAAACAAAGGTTTGGTGGGGTTTGTGAGCCGGTGAAATCATCGGTATATATTTCTTCAAAAATGATGTGGGTAACCGTCAATGGTGATCTTTATCGCGATATGATAACCGACTGTTTGATGCATGAAATTGAAACTCGTGATTTTGACAACATTTAGTTTCAACAAGACGGCGTCACTTCCCACACGTCGCATCAATCAATGAATTTATTGATTGACCACCAAGATCGTGTGATACCACACCGTTAGACTTTTAGTTACGGGAATATCTAAAGTGCAAAGTCTATGCGGACAATCAAGCTTCAATTCAGGCCTTGCAGCAAAATATCAAACTTCTGGTGTCGAAACATTCAGAATGTTGGAAATGGTCTTCGGTAATAATTCTTTGTCACGATCAAGTATTTTTGATCGATAAAAATTATTAAAAGAGAATCGAGAACGCGTTGACGATGACTCACGTCCAAGATGGACATCAACATCAACTGATGATCAAGACCCCAATAAAATCAAGAAATTGGTGCTTGAGAATCGACGATTAATAGTCAGAGATTTTACTGGCATCGTTGGTATATCGGAAGGATTCGTGGAAACTATTTTAAAGCAATATTTGCGCCTAAGAAAAGTTAAAGTACCATTGGCTTCAAAATAACAAACTTTTTTTTAAAAACAGCTGCTTTCCAACGTACCAGGATGTCATGAAACGTATTATTACTGGCGATGATTCTTGGATCTATGATTACGACCCGGAAACAGAAGATCAATCAGTGGAAGACCGAATATCGTAGAGAATGTGAGCCAAAGCCCAAAAATCACGTCGAAGTAGGTTAAAAATTTAGGCTAGTTTGGCAGTTTTCTTCGACTATCGAGGTTTAGAACACACCGAATTCCTTCCGACCGGCCAAACTGGCAACAAGGAATACTATTTGAGTGTTATGCGTCAATTGCGCAAAGCTAATCGTAAAACAAAGATTTCTTGGTTTTTGCACCACGATAATGCACCGTCGCATACTGCATTTCGCCAAATTTTAAGACAATTTCGTGCCGCAACCACCGTATTCACCTGATTTAACTCCGTAGCACCTGGCTATACAGCAAACTCAAATGACCGTTCCGGGGAAACCGTTTTGAGTCCATTGGAGGCGATAAAGGTGAATCACTACGCGCATTGAAGGCTATTTCGGAGATTAACTTTAGCAACTGTTTCGTGGATTTAATAAAACGTTCTCACAAGTGTATTAAGGTAAAGTGGGATTACTTTGAGTGAGACGACATAGACTTTGAAGAACAAATTAAGAATTTTAAAATTATGAACAAAGTCTTACTATTTTTTTCTCACAGTAGTAGATAATATAATGCGGCGGTCCCTTCGGGCAGTTACAAACTTTGTGGGAAAGGAATATATGTAGGTCAGTGTCAAGCATAATTATTATCTATACTATCCACGCTCGAGAGCAAAGACATTAGCTAATTTTATTCCTAAGAGTGACGTGATTGCAAAAAAAAACGTATTCGTACCTCTGCTGCATCGACTACATAAGAGGACATAAGCCCTGTTGAAGAATTTCGAAACTATAAAGAGAACTAGACTAGACTAGGACACGATTTGTATTTAACCCAGTATATATATTTTGTTTTGGCGCCGAAAAACAAACTCATGTTAATATTTTATTATACATATGTATAATACATACATATATTAATGATATTCTACCGAAGGAGAGGACATATATGTATACATATATTAACGATATATTTGAAGGATTATTACGACGATTATTATTAGCAAAAATGTGTTACAAACGAAAAGCGCGAGAATTTTTTTTTTTCAATAATTTTCTTATTCTATGCCGTAGTCAATAACCATAATACGCTGTAGATGAGTATTAATCAGTCCATGCACGTTGGCGATCACTAGAAATTTTGGAAGCTTATTAATGAATTTCTTTATTAATCTATGCCAACTTTACGCCGATGTGTGCATATTTTTGCATGCGACGAGCGCCGATTGATTTGTTTGACTTGGCCAATCGACGTGCATAACATACGCGGTTTTTACATACATATTCATAAATACAATCAAGCAAGTAAGGTGTGTTTAAACACGAACGGAACCGATTATTGCATAAAATTCAAAGGCGTTGTAGTCGCCGCGTAGTTCGTAACGAAATTGAGCGAATCGCCAATATTATTGGCTGCTGGAATAAACAAGAAGCTTTTTTGAAAAAATATTGTTACATGGAAGGAAAACGTGCTTGCATATAACTTTGGGCATCTATTATATTATATTAGAAAAACAAATCATAAAAATTAGTATTGCTTACAAATAATATGCCAAAAGTTCAAAAAAGCCGTTGCGCAACATGACTTGTGGGTATAAAAATTCTATCTATGTATGTCTATTATAAGTATTATGTATAATTCATGCGGAAAAGTGTGCGTTCTACGGTTATTGTGCTGAATAAGGTGCCAGAGTTGCGTTGTTGAACTTTTATATGGATATGCGGAAGCAAATAGGGAGTTTTTCAAATATTGACATAAGTCTGTACATACACATATGCCAGCACTTAGATATAACGCGCCAGGAAAGTGACATATCATTGATTTCCCTTACCTTTCCGTTTTGTAAGATTTATATGTAATGTGTAAGGAATACGGTTTCATGTGGGATGTGATGCTGCATTTTTAAATACTTATTTCTATGTCCATGAATGTCATGTATGGACTAGTGAAGTTCACCCGGAAATACAGTAATGGATGAGATTTAAGAATCTGTCTGTAGTCTTAAGTAGTAGAGTATGTATACTAAGCTAATGTATGGAAAGAACGTTGAAAATATAATTTTCCAAATTAATTTAAAAAGAGTTTTCGAATTTCATTCACACATTTTTGACTTCTGTCGAGATATTAATTATATAGGTCGTGAGGTGATACACCGCTATTGAGAAATGGAAGATTAAAACTTCATGCAATGTGAGAGATATATAATTGAAATTCAGAGATAATCCCTTCCTGATAGGGGTATATATTTGTATCAAAAATGTATTGAATTAGGTCAATAATTCCCTAATGCCTAATATACTATACAAGTTGTATATCTAATATAAAGATTTTCGAACTATCGAGTGACTTTATGGCGCATATGTTAGGTTAGATTAATCTGGTAGGAGAACATGCTTTTCATAAGAGGAGTAGTCATCCTTAAGGATGCGGCGATACCTTCACCAGGCTAATCGGAAATCACAGAAATCAACCTGTATTCTTATAGCAAAAAAGGATATAAGACGTTCTTAATCTTGATACTGATGGCCTAGTTTGATTGACAACTATATGCTCTAGCGGTGCGATCTAAACCTAAGATCTATGTATTGTGCCCTCCTCTCCATCACATGTACTCTCAAAGGCTTACTACGCTCTATGAAGAAGATGTGATCCCCATCTGGATAAATGAATCTAAAGACCTTAACTCTGTGTCTACAGATTGCCTTGCGTTCCAGAAGGTTGTTAGGTTGAAAGGGAAGGTGCAACTTCGCAAATCATTTTGCTAAAAAAATGTTTTTTTTCCACCTCAGCTGCCCAAAGTGTCTTAAGTTGGAGCCGTGGAATATATTATATCCCATCCGGCTGAATATTGGCATAAATGATGTTCCAGCGTCTCATCATTCTTAGCGCATGCTCTGAATTCGGCTGAAACCACTTTTCCTATTTTTTGAAGGTGGGATTTTAAGGTTAGGTGCCCTGTAAAGACCACTACAATATTATTAAACAAATCAATCGTGTTTCGAGCTGCCCTCGAGCCGGCCCGCTCGTCTGCTTTTTGATTTACTTCTATATTATCCGAGTTGCTTATCTGCTGATAATCTAGTTACTGCCTGCCTGAAAAACCTAACGTAGTGAAACTTAGAGATTATTCACTAGCATGTTTATGGAATCTATAAGCTACGTTCTGTATATGGATTACTATAGAAGAATCCCGCTCCTGTTTTTGACCCTTAGATCCGGTGGTGGTCCGGTCCGCGTAGTAGACGACCTTAGAGTTCTCCCTTTTGAGGGGTAGTAATAATTCATTGATCAAGATGACCCAAAGCAAAAGGGATAGGATGCCTCCTTGTGGAGTGCCACTAGTGAGCGATTTTATAACTTATCTATTGCTTAGTATATGACTTAAGCAGGCCCTTATAGCCTGATTACGGTCAAAAGGAGCGATAAACATTAATAAACAACAAATTAACTAAAGAAATTTAAGTTTTATTTCAAATAATCGTTATATCAATATTCAAACATATACAATCGTAAAATAATTCGTATATTTGTAATTTTAGCTTTCTAGATATTAAATCCTTGTATAGCACATAAATTCTCAGCTCAACTTAGGTACCAACTTAAGTACTAAATATTTGTATGCATGTAGGTGTAGCTTAATGACGGTGTCTGTAGCCGTATGCGTAACCAGCCGATTGGGCAGCCGTCGTAGTTGCCTCGGGCTGCGATGGGGCTGCAGCTGTGGTGGCCGCAGGCGTGGCGGGTGCAGCTGGAGCGGCGCCACCTTTCACAAAAATGGGTATACGAATGGTTTTCGTAATATATGTTGGCTTCGGAAGTGCGGCGCTGGCGCTGCTAACCGTATTCAAAACGTTCCTTAACAAACTCTGCTTCAGATTTGTCTTGGCTTGTACCAAACCGCCAACCACTTGCGTAACCGTTTGGATCTTAGCTGTCACGGCATTGGTTAGACCCTGAATGAGCGCGTTAGGGTCCAAGGCAGGTGCTGCAGGGGCTGCAGAACTGGCCGGAGCGGCGCCAACACCTAATAGAGAGAGGGAAAGAGAGTTTGAGAGAAGCAAGTGAAAGGCGTTAGATTTAAATGTAGAAATATGCACATGAGCAGGATAATATTTTACTAAATTGAAATGCGATAGCGGTAACAAATAATTTCATAACACTGTGAATATTTAAATTTTTCATGAAAGAGTGCTGCCAGAGTTATTAAATTGTAAACTTTTGAATTCGGTTGCGTTTTGGCAATGATTGTTAACATAATATTTTTATTAAAGATCATTTTTCGTCATCGTATAAATATATTTTCTTCAAATATCGAATTCTAAAAATAATTAAAAATATATTTTTTGAAGAAGTTCGAAAATGCATGTTTTCATAATTTACATTTAATCTGAATCAAATGTTTTTCAACTTCGAAAAATAATATGTAACTGATTCCATTTTTTTAATGTAATCGATTTCCTAATCAACAATATGTTTTTAAACTTTTTAATTTATAAAATAA